AGCCGGCGTGGGTGAAGCCACAGCGGCGAGCACCGGGAGCCTGCAGGCACTCCTCGAGCCAGCGGCACAGCACGCTGCAGGTGAACTGGCTGGAGTTGTTGTTGTTGATGAGCAGCACCTCCACGAAGCGGAATTCCAGCGCTTGTGGCTCCAGCAGCCGCGGGGCCGCCTCGGGTTCGGCTGCCAGGCACAGCTGGACGAAGTTCTTGTCGAAGTGCAGGAAGGTGAAGGGCCCCGCGCCCTCACACAGCTCCAGCTCGGCTTCCTCATCCTCCTCCTCCTCCTGCTGCTGCTCCGGGGGCTGCACGGGCACGGGGCTGGCCTCGCCCCGGGGGTCGCAGGTGTAGTTGGCCAGGTAGTGGTCGAGGGGCAGCACCATGGGCGAGAAGTGGGTGCAGACCTGCTCCTCCCGGTTGAAGCGGAGGTAGAGCGAGTACTTGGTGGGGTCGGGGTTCTCCAGGGTCCAGGAGCAGCCGGAGGAGATGGTGGGGAACAGGTCCTTGAGGGAGAAGGAGCCGTAGAGGACGCCGGAGGCCAGGGCGGAGCAGGCACTGGGAGCCGGGTCGAAGCCCCGCGTGAGCCACAGGACAGACGATATCACAGCCAGTAAGAGGGGACCAGCAGCGGTCATCCTATGGCATTTGCCCTGCGGACAGACAGATGGACACATGGACAGAGGCTTATACCCGGAGGTTTGGCCACTGTGGAGCTGGGCTGGGGGTCAGTACCCTGCCCTGAGTCCAGCTGGTGCGGGATCCCAGTTACCCCATGTCTCCTCCCGGTTCATGTCCCCCCCAACCTGGTCCATGTCCCCATCTGCCGCCTTGCAGGGTTACAGGGGACTCCTTGTGTCAATGTGTCCCCAGCTTCGGGACGGTGCAGCACAGAGTGAAGACTTCACCCCAAAACCACCAGAGCAGAGACCCAGCTCCCCAGGTCCCCCCTGCAGCGACTCCCCCATCCTCGGCTCACCCCCACCCCAAGCTGGCCAGGCACAGCCTGGGCAAGGAGCCACCAAACAACTTCAGACAGAGCTACAAAAGCCCTTGGAGCAAATTCTGGTGCCCTGGAGCACCCTGGGGACAGGCTGGCAGCTCAGGGTGACGCGCTGGGGTGCACAGTGACACCCCAGCAGTGTGGTGTCCCCACAGCTGTCCTAAGAGCCGGCCACAGGGTGAGCAGTCACTCTCAGTACAGATTTCTTGGATACCTCTCCGGGAATGCAGAGCATCACCGTGAATGGCTTTTTAATACCTCATTAATAAAATAATGCACGTGGTGGCCTTATTAAGTGAGCCCCGAGCATGGCTCTGCAGAAGCCGAGGCCCCGTGCACGTGTCAGCATCACTCAGCCTATGCCCGGGGCAGTGGTGGCAAGGGGACAGCCCTGGGGACATTCAGGAGGTGACCACAGGGCCAGATGCCGTGGCAGAGGTTGATTCCAAAATCGCCGAGGTCACCGCTCGCCCAGCGGTGTGCTGGGGATGCCGGGCGCTTGGCACTGCACGGGGAATGCTCTTCTTCACCCTCAAACAGCAACTCCTGCTCCCGAACCACCCCTGGCCGAGGCGGTGATCCCGGGGCATCCCCCGGCTCACCGGGAGGGACACGGAGCCTTGGCCGAGCCTGCGCTGGAGCCGCTCCGGGGACATTAGAGAGCTAAAAATATCCCGATTCTCATGCAACAGGCTGGCGCTGGCTTCTGCGGCCCCGGCAGCAAGGGGGGGCTCGGTGCTGGCATTCCCCCGCTCCAGGGCACGGGAGAGAGGGGCTGCGATGGAGCCAGCGGGAGCAGACCGGGCTGGACGCCGGCTGGACCTCCCCTGCAAGCAGGGGGGTCTGGGGCAGGAGAAAACCCCGCTTTCCGAGAGTTACTTCCAGCCAGAGACCCCAGGAAATGCAACAGGAGAGACCCGAAAGCACCGAATTCCAACTGCAGCCGGAGCGAGGAGCAGCACAGACATTCCCCGCTGGTGCTGCCAGAGCTGCCACCAAGGACCTGCGATCCCCCAGAGAGCCGCAGCCCCCTCCCCTGCTCCGGGAGAGCCGGGGGTGCGGGGAGGCAGGAGGAAGAGGAAGAGGAGGGAGAGGAGGAGGAGGTCAGGCAGGGACACGCTGCTGCTCTGCAGCGAGCTCCTGGGGCTCCCGCAGCCTGGCAGGGACACAAGATGGTGCTTGCTTCCCTCGCCCAGGAACAGCGAGCAGGGACGCTCCGGCACCACCATCCATCCATCCATCCATCCATCCTCCATCCATCCATCCATCCTCCATCCATCCATCCATCCATT